AGCTCGATCGTCTTGCAGTGCTGCTGGCGCCGAGCCCCCGAAGACCCACCGCTCGACACTGCGTCGCTCACTGCCGAGGCCAAGCGCACAACTTGGTCTTGGGACCAGGGACCTGCAGATATGGTAGCAGTGATCTCCGACGCCCCGTCCACCGTAAGGCCGCGCGTGCTGTTGAGTAAGTTGACCAACGTCTGGGTCTGAGCCGCCAACGGCTGATCGCGAGGGATGCCAGCAGCAGCCTGTGCGTCCACGAAGGCTGCGCGCTGGGTAATCGCAGCCACGACTTGGTTGACAACGGACTGTGCCATGCGACAGTGCAGCTTGTATGCGAAGGCGCACTGGGAGTATAGGCAAGCAACCTCACGAAAAGCTTGAGCCCAAATGGCTACGGCGGCGTGACGGGACGTACTTTCGGTAGACCACCGTAGATCTGTGAGCGCCTTCCGAGAAAGAAAAAGAAGGGGGAGAAGGGAGGACAGGATGATAGAGGATGGGGTGGGGAGTGAGATAGGAAGGCAGTGGGAGGAGGCGGTGGGAGAGGTTGAGCAAGGGCAGGACGCCGAGCGAGGGGGAGGAGGAAGAGGAGGGTCAGCGCTTCACGTTCCTGGAATCTGGATGTATTGAGACCGAAGATTTACTCATCTGACGGGCCGAATCCAGTCCCAAGGGCATTCCAGGAAGCCGAACCCCGAGCAAATTTCAGGACGAAATTGCACAACGCCACCAGAATGCCTCACAGCGCACTCAGACGGCCTGAAAACACCCATCCCCAGCCAGGGATGGGTGTTTTGACACCCGTCCCTGGTTGGGGATGGGTGTCGGCATGTAGCGACACCCGTCCCTGGCTGGGGACGGGTGTCAAAACACCCATCCCTGGCTGGGGATGGGTGTTTTCAGGCCGTCCGTTCAGCCGGCTGGGGCCGCCGACGATCTCGAGAAAAAGGCAGGCTTCGAGCTTTAGTATTTTGGGTGATTTCAGTGGTCGCGGGCTGCCAAACCAAGCGTGGACACGATGTTTTTTTTGGGCGTGATGCCTCCCTTCACCCTCGCACCTCTTCCCCATCATCATCCTCACCCTCCTCCTCGTGATCATATCCATCCTCCATCCCCACATCCTCTTCTCCCTCCTCCTCCTCCTCCTTATCACCCCACCTCCTTCCTCCCCCTCCCTCCTCCCCTCGCCCTTGCTCGTCGTTAGGGGCAGCGGCGACGCCGACGACGATATCACTGGCTTGCGACGGGGGTGGCTATCCTGATGATTGCGTCGATGTCGACGTCATCTGCGACGATGGAAATGACGAGATGTGCTGCTGATGTTTGCTATGTGGCCTATACGCGTACTCCACATCACCTATGTTGCGCGATGTCTGGCAAGGCTATGACGACGCATCGTGCCCCTTCGAACGACGCATATCCCCAAGTCTACTCGCCCAGCATAGAGCACCACAAAAAAGGAGCACGCACTGGAAGCAAAATGGCAGGCCCACTCTGACCGTCGGTGTGAATTTCTGCCATCGGCTGATCAGGCACCACTCCTCAGGACGCGTCTGCCTGGTCGTCAGCTGCCGCCCGACCTTTGTCGAGCTTTGGCAACACTCCGGAGGTGTGGCGAGCCATGAATACGTCTTCCAAGGCTTTCGCGACGGCGTCCACGTTGGCCTGGAAGGTATCCGAATTTGTGCTGTGCTTGACATGCAAGGATTTGGTACGCACCTTCTGCGCCTCACTGTCGTAGTACTTGGCTTCGCAGATCATCCTGGAGCTTTTGTACACGACGTGAGGCTGCTTGATAATCGGCGTACATGGAGACGGCGCCGCCACTACCTGCCTGGGGGTCTTGGTCAGCAGCGCCATGGCCTCTGGGGTCAGCTCCACCTTAAGGTAGTCCCGATAGTATGGGGCACTTGCGACCAATACCTCTTGCGAAGATCCGTCGTCGAGGTCCACCTCAACCTTGATGACCTTGTCGATGGAGTCGTGCAACCTCTTGCGCGAACCAGCAGGCAGGGGCACTTCGCTGACATCCTGGCTGTTGCCATCGCACAGGGGGTCGCTCTCCCTGATGGCATGCCTCATCAGCATCTCCGACTGGGCAGACCGCTTATTCTGGAGTGCGACGGCCATCTCGAAATTGTTCTTCAAGAACTTGGCGCAGCGAGCATCGCCGCGATCCACTGTTGCGAACTGCTTGCCGTCGATGTGCTCGACTTCGCACACCCACGAGTTCCCTGCATTAGGGGGCTCTGCCGTGCTCGCGAGTGCGTGCCCGAACGAAACTGAGACGGGCATCCCTGCTGACGGGAGGGGATGCCGAAGGAACACACACGCAAGAGTTTGAGCCAAAAACGGCTACAGATGATGATCAGGGCAACCCGGGATTCGACGAGGAGGGATTGAATGAGGACCGTGACAAGTGGGGGGACTTAGAGTTGGCCATATGGATCCGACGCGAGAGCCCCTTTAATGAGGTCCAAATCGGCCGCGGGGTCCATTGCGCAATGTCTTGGAGAACATTCGATAAAGTTGTGTCTATGCGTTCGGCTTGGGGCCCACCTAGTTTCAAGGGCATGCCATTTTTCCAGGGACATGTTGGGTCTGATTGCATCGCTTGTTTACGGCTCGCTGCTTTGTAATGGATGCTTGCTGTTGTCTTCCAGGGGTTCATGCCATCCCCCCCTTATCCTCCTGCGTCCCCCTCTCTTCCTCACTGTCACAAGCCGCGGGGAGGGGGGCGCCTTGAAGTTGTTGGTCAGGTGCGGGCGCCGTTCCCTCTCTCTCTCTCTCTCCTTGCTGCTGCTGCTGTCGCTGCTGGTTCTGATGCTGCTCGTGCTCCGCCCCCTCCTCATACCCCTCTCCCCACCCTCAGCGCAGGCTGGCTCCGAGCTGTCTTGTTTTTGTCATTGCGGGGTCCGCGCCCCCCCCCCCCCCCCAGACCTATTGTTCAAGGCAGTGTGTGTGTGTCTAGCTGTGTCTGTTTGCTTCGCTCGCCCTCTTTCCCCTCTTCATCCTTATCCTGCTCTCCCACATCCTCCTCCTGCTCCTTCTCCTCTTCATGCCCCCCTCCCAAGCTTCTCACCTTCCTCCTCTCCTCCTCCTCCTCCTCCTTCTCCTCCTCCCCCTCCCCCCCCCCCTCCTCCTCCTCCTCCTCCTCCTCTCCCTTCTCCTCCTCCTCCTCCTCATTCACCTCCCCCTCCTCCCCCCCCCTTCTCCTCCTCCTCCTCCACGCCACCTCTCGACTAAACTGACTGTGCAAGCGGGGTGCGCAATTTCATCAGCGGAAGCGTTGCCGGGGTCGCCCTGGCAGAACAGATCACTGCGCCACCCCGCGGGCACCACTAGATGCATCGCGAACGGCATCCACGAAAAAAAAAAAAAAACAATCTCGAGCGGGCTGTAAATGGCACACTCAGCCACGGATTCGAAGATCGCCCATGCTTCCCCCCATTGGTTCGAATGATTTGTAGTTTATGGCCCCTGGGCGAGATGCTTTCGGAGCGCAGCTTCGTGTCGGTCGAAGCGCCAAACATGCAAGAGATCATCCGCGGTCTGCGAGTAAACACAACAACCGCGGGCTAATCGACCTCCCCTCGATACTGACGCCGCGGCCCTGCGACGGCAGAGGGGGGTTGAGGATAGGAAGGGTGGAAACTGTTCTCGGGTATAGTAGGTGAGTAGGAGTGGGGACTGAGAAGGCACATTGCCTCGGAGACCGCTCACTCGGTCTTTGAGGCCTTTGCGCCGCGCCCACCTTGATTCAATGCCCTCTTGAGCGGGTTGGAGCCCGAGGGCCCTGTGCCGCCGACACTTTCAGCAACGACAGGCCAATCGTCCTCGGTGTGGCGATACAGGGATTCGCCTTTCTTGATGGCCTTGTGGTTCCAGAGGCAAGGCAAGTTCAAGGCCGCTGTAGAGCCTTTCCCGCCCCCCTTCTCAGCACAAGTCGTGGTGAGCGTGATCTTCACGAACCCCACTCGCATGTTTGCATTCACGGGGTTCGGATCACGGGGCACCAGCCAAAATGGCACCACAAATGGGTCTTTGGGCTCTGAGCAGGACGGATCGGGCAGCACGACTGTAGGCGAGATGAATGCCTTCATGCCGACGGGCAGGTCTGTAAGCGAGGGCACTACCACCCCAGAGGGAGGTACTTTGACACCTACTGACACCACGGGAGACAAGGGTATCAAGAACAGTGTGCCACGCGCATACTCTTTCAAAGCAACCACATCATATACTGCAGGCCGTGGTCTCGCATCGCCTATGTAGGCCAACGACGCATAAGACTCAAAAAGAGCGTGGGCGTGCATGAGACCCGCCTTCACGAGAGCGACGCAATTGCTCTGCTGGAGGTCCTCGTTGTCCTGCGGGGGGGGGCAGCGGGAGCGCGGGAGAAAGAACACAGGACGAGGAGTGCCGTCTTATGCCTCCTCTTTCTCCTCTTCCTCCTTATCCTCCTCCTCCCCTCTTTCCTCCTCCTTCTCCTACTCCTCCCTCTCCTCCTCCTCCTTCTCCTGCTCCCTCCTCCTTTTATCCTCTCATCCTCCCTTCATTCCTCCCTCCCTTCCTCCTCCCGTCCCCCTACTCCTCGTACTCTTAGTCCTGCTGCTCTTGAGCCTCTCCCTCCTCATCCTCCTCCGTCTCATCCTCCTCCTTCTCCCTCTTCTTACTCATTCTTCTCCTTCTCCTCCTCCTCCCTCCCTCAGCTTGGACCCCTCGCGTCGGCTCTGGGTCCTGGGAGCGGACGTCGGCCGACTTGATCTCGAAGCCCGTGTCCTCGGGCACCGCCTTGGGGCGGAGAGGGGGGAGGGCCTCATCATCCTCCTCATCATCCTCATCCTCTCATCCTTCTGCTCATCCTTCTCGTTTTCGATCTCCTGCTTCTCTTCCTCCTCCTGCCTCCTCCTTCCTCCTTATCCTCCTCCAATCATCTTCACCGTAAGCTGTTCTCTCAAGCTTGTGTTGGCTCAACATGTCTGAGGGGGCTGTGCGGGTGTTTGGCGTTAGCCAGGCCCCGCCTCGTAGTCGTCCAGCAACGTCGCGGCCTCCACCAGGATCGAGTTCTTGACCTTCTTGCTCTTGCCCTTGCCCGTGTTGCCAGGCTCGTCGCTGGGCGCCAAACTGACCTTGCCATCCTTCGTGAAATCAATGATGTTCCACGTCTTCGCGTTGTTGGTGTCCTCATCTCCCTTCAGCTGGACCAGCACTCCGATGTCCATCCCAGCGGCCTTCAACGACTCTGAGCTGACCCCGCCGCCGGCGAACTCCCGCATGACACCCGATTGCGACTGGCGACCTGCGGCTTGACGATCATCATTTGGCAGGTCCCAAGGTTTCTCCATCTCCTTCGAGGCTGGGAACTTCAGGATGGTTTCGCTGATGAGCTTCTGCTTGATTTGCTCCGTGCTGACAAAGTTCTCGCGGTGTTTCGCCTTCTTCTTGTGCAAGAACATCGTCATCCTCACCTGGAAGTCGCCGTAGAGTTTCGCCGTAGTTCCTTCAGCGGTGCCTCCGCCAACGACGTTGCCTTTGGACTTGTCGCCAACGACCTTCAGCCACTCCTTCGCAGAAACCATATCCGACTGCACCCTCAGCGTCACAGACTTCCTCTTGGCGATGTCGCTCACGTCGCTCGCGCTGAAGAGCTTCGCCTCGCCCCCGTTGCAGTGGCCCTCAGGAGCGACGAGGGATGCTTTGATGATGCCGACCACGTAGTCGGGCGCCTGGCTCAGCGGTAGGGCTGCGAGCCCTCGAATGAGGGAGCTGGGAAGGTCGCGCCTCATGGTGGGCACCTTCGAGTAGGCCTCGATGCACTTGATGTAGGTCGGGTTGGAACCACCACCGAATGCGATCACGAAGTCGCCGATGTCGCGGATCTTCCCCTCGAGGTGCGTGCTGGTGGCCTCCAGCTGGCGGGTGATCGCATCCAGCTTGTAATCTCCAAGCAACGATTTGTTTTGCAGAGTTTTCTTGTGCACGGCAAACATAGCCTGGATATCAGTTTGTTTCCTGTCAATACCATGGCCTACGTTTCCAGCTTCGCTTAAAAAGTCGGCCAACTCAGGGATCGCTGTTGCGACCTGATGCCGAATAACAAACCAAGGGATGCCCTCCGTGAGCGACTTGTTGTATGATGGACTCAGCGCCGCAACCTTTGCAGCCAGAACCCCTGAAGCTCATAGATGTCCAGTCCAACCCAACCTCACATCAGTGGTGCACTGTATGCTCAAGGTTGGGTCAGACAGGACAAGTTTGGGCTTGGGCTCGGGCCGCGTAACCTTCTGCCTGCAGAGACGGCCGTCCGTGCACAGGTGGGCCAGGTGCGACGTACACTGTCCAAGCACGGCGCGTTGCCCAGCAGCGGTATGGGAGCAGGTCAGCGTTGCGATCTTCATGTCGTGCTGGCTTATCAGAGGCAATTGGCCGTCAGAGGCCGTCCAAAGAAGGCGATTGAACTCGCGCACCTCATGGGCCTTCAGCGGGTCGATTTCCAAGGCCCTGGGCGTCTTGAGCTCGTGGTCACTCCATCCCTGGTGGACTATCTTCGCTAGAAAGGCATGTACATCGAAAGGGTCGAGCCCCATTCCCCACCTATTCACTGGGTGGACGACGCTCTTACAAGAACGAACCCGCTCGAAGTACCCGAGATTCTTGGTGAAGAGCTCCTCGCAGATCTGATCAGCACGAGCTTTCATCTGGCCCTTAGACTGATCATCCGCAGAGGGATCGTACTCGGAAATCAATTTCTTGATGCTCGAAACGCACTCCTGCAAGGCCGCCTCCATGCTGGACGCGGCTCGAGAATTCCTTCGAACGCCAGATCGACCCCGAAGGTCGCAGCTGGACAGCTTGGGCCAGAGCAGTTGCATTCGCCAAAAAAAGACATCATCCCCTCTCCCCTTCATCATTTCCTCTCCCCTTCAGTTGAAAATCTTTGCGCCAACTCACAAGAAACCAGCCGCGCCATCAAGAAATCAGCCCCCCCCGAAGATCGCGTAACCAGGTTAGCTAACCAGGTTAGGGTGGATAGCTAAGTGGCCGAACCTGGTTACGACAGAACCCTGTAACCAGACCTAACCTGGTTAGGCGGTTACGCATAAGTGGATACGAAGTGCGATAACTAGCTTCTATGAAATGCATTAGTGCTGTATCTCTGCTAAGTGCTTAGCCGACTGATCTAAGTGGATAGGGATGTTGAGGCGGGTTCTGCAACATACAACCTACGTTGTACTACTTAAAACCTATGGTTCACCAACTTACATCTGGGTTCAACCGTGCAAACCACATAGCAACCAGAGCGGTTATTCAAGTGGGCTGGCTTTGGGGCCTCTTGGGCCGTCTTGGGCCCTCTTGGGTCTCTCTTGGGCTGTCTTGGGGCTCCGCGGGGGCGTCTGGGGCACTGTGAAGACGAAGTCAGCGAGTATGCTGAAAATGCACGTTTTACCAGGAAAATGGGCCGATGTTTGCCTCTTGAAGGCCCTCTCGGGGCCCTCTTCGGCCATCTTCAAGCCATCTCGGGCGCTCTTGGGCCTCGCTGAGGCTGTCCTGGGGCCCAACAGAAGGCTCTGGGAGCCCGGAAGTAATGTTCCCTGAGAGGCTTGTGGAAACATGATTTCGAACGGGGCCCTCGTGGGCCTCCCTGAGGCCGTCTTGGAGGCCTCCTGGGCCGGCTTCGGGGCCTCTTGGGCCGTCTTGGGGGGTTCCCTGAGCCCCACAGGCCGACCCTTTGGGGCCGTCTGTGGCCCTTTTGGGTCTCTCTTGGGCTGTGTTGGGGCTCCGCGGAGGCGTCTGGGGCACTGCGAAGACGAAGCCAGCGAGTATGCTCAAAAATCCACGTTTTACCAGGGAAATGGGCCGATGTTTGCCTCTTGAAAGCCCTCTCGGGGCCCTCTTCGGCCATCTTCAAGCCATCTCGGGCGCTCTTGGGCCTCGCTGAGGCTGTCCTGGGGCCCAACAGAGGGCCCTGGGAGCCCGGAAGTTATGTTCCCGGAGAGGCTTCTGGGAACATGAATTCGAACGGGGCCCTCTTGGACCTCCCTGAGGCCGTCTTGGGGGCCTCCTGGGCCAGCTTCGGGGCCTCTTGGGCCGTCTTGGGGGGTTCCGAGAGCCCCACAGGCTGACCCTTTGGGGCCGTCTGGGGCCCTCTTGGGTCTCTCTTGGGCTGTGTTGGGGCGCCGCGGGGGCGTCTGAAGCACTGTGAAGACGAAGCCAGCGAGTATGCCGAAAATGCAAGTTTAACGAGGGGAATGGGCAGATGTTTGCCTCTTGAAGGCCCTCTTGGGGCCCTCACGGGCCCTCTCGGGGCGCTCTTGGGCGTCTTCGGGGCCTCTTCAGGCTTTCGCGACCATCTGTACGGCCCGCGTGGCCTGTCGTGGGCAATTTGGAAGCGGCCCGGGGCAGTCCTGGGGGGTCTGTGACCCCCCAAAGGTTCGGGGGAGCCCCCATGGGGGATGACGGTACCGATTTTGCCCCCCCCACCCCCGGCCTTCTCAGATTATATGTGTATGTATATGTATATATATATATATATATATATATATATATATGCGTGTGTGTGTGTGTGTGTTCACACGTACACATATACACGCATACATACATACATACATACATACATACATACAAACAAACATACATACATACATACATACATATATACATACATACATACATACATACATACATACATACATACATACACACATACATCCATCCATCAATCCATCCATACATCCATCCATCCATCCATACATACATACATACATTCATACATGCATACATACCTACATATCTACATATCTACATATCTACATAACTACATATCTACATACATACATACATACATACATACATATATACATACATACATACATACATACATACATACATACATACATACACACATGCATACACGTACACATACACATACATACATACATATATACATACAGACAGACATACAGACAGACAGACAGACATACAGACATACATACATCCATACATGCGTGCATGCATACATACATACATGCATACATACATACACACATGCATGCATGCATGCATGCATACATACATGCATGTATACAAACATATATGCATACACATATACATATACATATACATATACCTATACATATACACATGCATACACATACACATACATACATACAGGCAGACAAACAGGCATACAGACACACATATATGCATACATACATACATACATACATACATGCATGCATACATACATCCGTACATACATGCATACATAATTCACACATGCATTCATACACACATACATACAGACAGACATAACATACACACATACATACATACAAACAAACGAACAGTCAGACAGACAGACAGACAGACAGGCAGGCAGACAGACATGCATACATACATACAGGCAGACAGCCAGGCAGGCAGGCAGACATACATACATACATACACATAATATAATGTTCGTATATCTGCAAGCATCATGCGCATCTTCACTTGATTCGGCGCAACAAATAATGGTGGGATAAATAAATTATGTCGTCGATCCCCTACTCGAATCCTGGCGATGCAATTTTTTCACAGCGGGCTATTTCGCCTAGTTTCGAGCCCCGGGACCCTCACAGATCGAGCCGGCTCGAAAAATGACGCAGAAAGATGGGGTCCGGGGCTGCGGTCGTGATTGCTGCTATGTATGTTGCATTTTTTGGGAAGGTCGGATCTCAGGGTGGTTCCTCGGCTTACATGGGGAAACCAAGTACCGATACCGCTACTCCATGGGCCTCTCCTGGGGTGCGTTCTGATCAGAATTTCGAGGCGGATCCAGCGGTGGCGACGACGGCTTCCCAAGGGGGCGACACAAAGATAGAACTGGCGAAGGGCTAGCGGTATAGGTACCTGTTCCTCCTCGGATCTCTTGGTCATCGGTCAGCGGACGCGGGGAGAGTCCAGCTGGGGCGAGCGCATGGGGGTCCCCTGGGGTCAGGTCGGGCCTGTCCCCCTACAGGGGAAT